TCTAGTGTGCATGAAAATCTGCCAGGCTTGAATAGTTTGAATATATGTCAACTGATTACTCCCCAGTGTAGGTATTCTCAAGCCAACCGTACATCTTGTACATTATACGGTTGCTGATTTTCTCTTCTAGTGTGCATGAAAATCGGCCAGGCTTGGATATTTTGAATATATGTCAACTGATTACTCCCCAGTGTAGGTATTCTCAAACCAACCGTTCATCTTGTGCATTATACGGTTGCTGATTTCCTCTCCTAGTGTGCATGAAAATCGGCCAGGCTTGGATATAGTTTGAATATATGTCAACTGATTACTCCCCAGTGTAGGTATTCTCAAATCAACCGTTCATCTTGTGCATTATACGGTTGCTGATTTCCTCTCCTAGTGTGCATGAAAATCGGCCAGGCTTGGATATTTTGAATATATGTCAACTGATTACTCCCAAGTTCACAAGAGATTGCCATTTTTAATGTGTAACTATAAAAGCCAAGTATAAATCTGCAGAATGAGAGATGAATATCCTCATTTGTCAATTTCATAGTACAGTACTTTCATCGCCCCAAACATCACTGCAATGTGTAATAACTGCATGGTCTTATAAGCTTATCAAAAACTGTAATTTTCACATGCTGATATATGCATGAGTGTTCTTAAGTTGAATGACTGCATTTTGTATTTGTTTTTGTTTTATAGCTACCATTATTATTCCTATAATCAATATTGTTTTCATGCAGGCCTTTGGTTCCCCTACTATTCTAGTTCACATAGATGGCAAATCACACATGTTCTTTGGATCCGATAGATTTCATATAATTGCACATATCATGGGTAAGCATGGAATTATATTTTAATCTTTGTCATTCACCGATTTATATGCACATACTTTTTTCATAATTTTTCCAAAAGTTGTAGCCAATAGGAAATTATGTATATTTGGTCCACAATGCTGGAAAATAAATAATTTGATTTTTTTATTCAAATTTGACTGATCATGTTGGTCAATGCAGAGCCTAGCTTGAACATGCATACTGTAATACTGCATGACCAGAAACATAAATTCAATGTAATTGCAATGGCTGCTAGTTTTGAGTTTTAAAAGACTGTCTTAAGGTAGAAGCCTAGTCATAATTTTTGACAAAATTGGTCATAAATCGCATGACAATGTTCATTAGTTTGTTATGTACAATCATGAAACTAATATCCCATGGTACAATGAAATAGCAACATTTTGTGCGTTACAGTTGAGCTTTTTGAGAAATGTGTCCTAATATTTCTTGAAAATTGCTATTTTTAGAAGAATTCCGTAGAACAAATTGTTAAAGAGAAATTGCATTTTTTTGACACTTTTTAAAACCCAGATTTGTTGAATAACTGAGAACAACAAAACATACTCCATCATTAACAATATATAATTTGTTCAGCCTATGTCACCAGGCTAGACACCATCTACAAAATGATTTTGTATAGTCTGCTCTTCCCCCACATGAAAAATTGACAAAATTTTTGATCAAAAACTAAAAGCAATATGTGTCACTGTCTGCATTTCCAAATGGTTTGAAAATATTTGAATATCACAACAAGTGTAAAATACATGTTTGTTTAATATATAAAAGTTGTGATAACTTACTCTTTGAAGTGCCATAATCTTCCTACAGCATCATATTTAATATATGTGACAAATCTGAATCGCCTATAATTTACATTATTTCCTGCTATTTTGGGTTCGTTCCGGCCGTACGTACATACGTACGTACGTCCGTCCGGAGCTATATCTCGGACACCCAATGAGGGATTTCATTCAAACTTCACATGAAGACAATAAATAAGGTCTTGCATATGCGCGTCAAGTTACTTTATGATCGGAGAAAAAATGGTCGACTGGCAGCCATTTTGGATGTAAAATTTGGTATTTCTGATACCTAAACGTGTCCGCAGCAGTTTCTCGGAGATGACTGGGCCGATTTGATGGTGTGATGATCATACATATTGGGTTGTAGGTGCAGGTCATTTTTTTTTCGTGATTCAAACAAATATGGCCAACTGGCGGCCATCTTGTTTTTCATGGTATCCATGCCTACTTTCCCATGAATGCAATGAACATTTCTGTTTAAATTTTGTACAAAGACAGTATACCAATAGATACATCAACATGTACATTATTTTTCTAATTTGATTCAATATGACTGCCCAATGTCCAATTCTTGTGTAAAAGCACTAAATCATATTTTTTTACAAATCCATCTCCTATTAATAGTTTCAATCTAATCTCAATGACTTCATCATCATCGCATTGATATGTCAGATCACAAAATTTTGGACGGGGACTGTTTCATTAACAATGACTTGTCCCTTTTAATTTTATATCTTTTGAATTTTTTGTATTTATACTTATATTCTTTACCATACTAAAACGCTCTAAAGGTTTTTAGTAGTGTAATACAGTTATTATTATTCACATGACATTATAGTCTCTTATTTTATTGCAGGTGTCAAATATGAAGGTCCATTGTGATCTTGCACCAGTGTTGATTAATTCCAACCTAATCCTTCAATGAAGTGTAGAGTACAAATCTAAAGTCACAGTCAAAGAGAAAAAACAAATGGAAAACGAAGTAACGTTCAAACTTTTGGGGTGTCTTTAAAACAAAAACCAAAGAAAATTGTATGGTTTAAGTATGGTACAAATTTTAGTTTCTGAATTAATTTGGATGTTTACACCTCATTCTTTTGTATATTTGTGTTTCAGATCTTTAAATCGAAGTACAAAGCTTACTAACGTATTCCATCATTTAAAGGGTGGTAGTCATCGCGTCGCGCATGCGAGAGATGTATGGGTCTCTCATCTAAACAAAGATGGCGACTTTGGCTGTTGCGCAGATCAACGAGTAGAAACTGAGAAATTACAAAACTTTAATTAGGTATTTTTTAGATGATTGGGAGGCATTGAAAGAGTCAACAGTGGTAATTAGTGCAAGTCGTGCCCAGGTCAAACGCATTGGCTTGTGGGAAAATCAATGTTTATCAATACAAATGTCACACATGCACAACGCGAGAACTGCTGCTCTTTAAAGTGATGCCATAAAAGCTGTGTCAGTTGCATCATGTATTATATTATTTCTTAATTCTAAAGAAATTCCCCCCCCCCATCAATTCTTTAAAATGAAGGACAGATAATGAGGTTATTATGAGGATACATTAAAGTATGCATGAAGTAACAGTACAGTGTGAGTATCAACCGACACGCAGTGGAGGACCACGCGACTGCGTGCTCTCTGAGTCCATACTTTGCAGTATACTCTTACTAATCTTATTATTATATATACATGTTTTCCCCTGTGGAATACATCATGGGAATGCCGAAATCCAGAACATTTAGAACATATATAGCAAACTTTTTTGTGTCGAGTCCGGTCAAACCCTGGGGGCAACCATGTTTGTTTTTATTATTATTAAACAACGCTTGTGTGTGTCATCATTCTATATTTTGATTTCATGTTTCCTAATATGGTAGGATGAAAATACCCAGTGCAATACCGCAAAATTACGACATTGCAATGATAGATGTATAATAATATACGTTACAATATTTACTTTGAGATTCTATATATTAACTGTTTCTATGTTGAACAATATAATATTATGATAAACCAAAATATTGAATTTCTACCCATGGTTAGCAAGCGTCTGATTTATTGACATTTTCTCATTTTTAATCTCTGATTTAAAATTAATCATACTTTATGCATATAATGTATTTCATGCCATAGTAATCACCGTATTGTTCGCTCTTTGTCTTAGAGAGATTCTCCATCAAATGAAAAACAGTCTTTCTTCTTCACTCTCAAGGCAGCAGTCAGATTTGTTGGAGAACTGAAATCATCCTTCAACTCTAAGGTCATTCATTGTCAATTTGTCAATTGGCTCAGTTTTTGAGGATAAGGCATTCCTGTGCAAAGGATTTTGTCACACAAAAATGTATTATAGTTGGCTAAAAATTACCATAAGTGATTGTTCGGCTGAAAAAGATCGGAATTTTTGTTCAGTTTTGTAAAAATAAAAAAAAAACATTCATAACTAAAGTTTTTCAGTGATCAACGAGGATTCAAGATGGTCACTTCTATATATATGTACATTCAGTAAACGCCAACAAATTAATTAGTCCTCGTTCGGACGCAGTCCGAAAACAGGTACTTGTGTTTTGACTTGTGTGCGTCAGTGCTTCTGTTCGTCCATGCTTGCATCTGGACCTGTATCTTAGGAATGCCTGGACCAATCACAATCAAACCTCACACATACATCATACATGATATTATACATATGCACGCCAATTGGATTTTGTTCAAACTTGGTATATATGTTGGACATTATAGAACCTTGATGCACATCATTTTGTTTTCAGATAAGATTTAAAATGGCTGACTGGCGGCCATTTTTTTTTTTAATAAATGTGGTTCTAGTGCCATATCTCTGACTTGCTGTGACTGATTATGTTCAAATTTTAAATATTCATTACACATCATGTCATAGATATACAGATATATTGGTGTGGCGATCTGATTTAAAATGGCTGAAAGGTGACCATTTTTGTACTAAAAAATTATCAAAATCAAACATTTCTTGGCTGTTTACAGATGGATTTTGTTTAAACTTGGTATATATGTT